TCAATTTTAGAGAAGGTTCCATGGGGTGCTGAGAAGAAGGTATATTCTTTTTTGTTAGGATGGAATGTTCTGTAGATATCGATTAAGTCCATTTGAGTCATGACATCAGTTAAGTCCTTTATTTCTCTGTTAAGTTTCAATTTGGGAGATCTGTCCAGTGGTGAAAGTGGGGTGTTGAGGTCTCCCACTATTAATGTGTGGGGTTTTATATGTGATTTAAACTTTAGTAATGTTTCTTTTACATATGTGGGTGCCCTTGTGTTTGGGGCATAAATATTCAGAATTGAGACTTCATCTTGGTGGATCTTTCCTGTGATGAGTATGTAATGCCCTTCTTGATCTCTTTTGATTGATTTTAGTTTGAAGTCTATTTTGCTGGATATCAGGATGGCTACACCTGCTTGTTTCTTAAGACCGTTTGATTGGAAAGTCTTTTCCCAGCCTTTTATTTTTAGGTAGTGTCTATCTTTGAATTTGAGATGTGTTTCTTGTATGCAGCAGAAAGATGGGTCCTGCTTTCGTATCCATTCTGTAAGCCTATGTCTTTTTATAGGTGAATTAAGTCCATTGATATTGAGGGAAATTAATGACCAGTGATTGTTCATTCCTGTTATTTTTTGGTGGTGATGTGTGGGTACTTCTATACGTTGGGGTTTACTGCTGTGGCTTTATCTGTTGCCTGTGTTTTCGAGGGTGTATCTGACTTCCTTAGATTGGAATTTTCCTTCTAGTGCTTTCTGTAGGGCTGGGTTTGTGGATAAGTATTGTTTAAATCTGGCTTTGTCATGGAATGTCTTGTTCACTCCATCTATGGTGATTGAAAGTTTTGCTGGGTATATTAGTCTAGGTTGACATCCATGGTCTCTTAGTGTCTGCATTACATCTGTCCAGGTTCTTCTGGCTTTCAAAGTCTCCATTGAGAAATCGGGTGTTATTCTGATGGGTTTGCCTTTATATGTCACTTGGCCTTTTTCCTTTGCTGCTCTTAATATTCTTTCTTTATTCTGTACGTTTAGTTGTTTAACTATTATGTGGCGAGGGGACTTTTTTGGGGGGTCTAGTCTGTTTGGTGTTCTATAAGCTTCTTGTATCTTCATAGGCATTTCCTTCTTTAAGTTGGGAAAGTTTTCTTCTATGATCTTGTTGAATATATTTTCTGTGCCCTTGAGTTGGTATTCTTCTCCTTCTTCGACCCCTATTATTCTTAGGTTTGGTCTTTTCATGGTGTCCCAAATTTCTTGGACATTTTGGTTCATGACTTTGTTGGCTTTAGTGTTTTCTTTGACTGATGAATGTATTTCTTCTACTGTATCTTCAACGCTAGAGATCCTCTCTTCCATCTCTTGCATTCTGTTGATTATACTTGCATCTGAAGTTCCCAATCGTTTTCTCAGATTTTCTATTTCCAGCATTCCCTCTGTTTGTGTCTTCTTCATTTTTTCTATTTCCCTTTTCAGGTCTTGGACTGTTTCCTTCATTTGTTTCATTGATTTTTCTTGATTTTCTCTCAGTATTTTATTGTTTTCTTCCAGGACTTTATTGTTTTCTTCTAATTTGTTTGCCCTTTCCTCTAGTTGTTTACAGCGTTCTTCACATTTTTTTGTCTTTTCCTCTACGCAAGCCTCTAGCTTCTTCATGATGTCATTCATAAGGCTGTTTTCTTCTGCTTCTTCTAATTTCTGATGTTCAGGTCTAGGTGTTGGAGGAGGGCTAGGGCCTGGTGATGCTGTATTGCTATTCATTTTGTTGTATATGTTTCTGCCTTGACGTCTGCCCATCTCCTTGTGGTTCGTTCTTGGCCTTATCCGCACACTTGGTTCAGACAGACCAGTGTTCCAAAAGGGAAGTCAGTGTTCCAAAAGGGAAGTCCGGAGCAAGATGGGAGCTGGGGGCCGGCCTCTGAGTCTCAGGAAGAGGCTTGGGGCTCAGGCGGATGGGCGTGGGGGCAGGGCGTGGAGACTGCAGGGTCTGCCAGTGGTCTCAGTGGTCTTGGAGAAGGGGATCCTTCCCGGTGCGGCTAGCAGGGAACCTGCCCGGTGGCCAGAACCTGGGGCCAAGTTGGGCAGGTCTTCCCTGGAGTGGCTGGTGCCCAGGGATGGGGTCTGGGGCAAGGAAGGGTACTCACCAGTATTCCAAAAGGGACGTCCGGAGCAAGATGGGAGCTGGGGGCCGGCCTCTAAGTCTCAGGAAGAGGCTTGGGGCTCAGGCGGATGGGCGTGGGGGCAGGGCGTGGAGACTGCAGGGTCTGCCAGGGGTCTTGGAGAAGGGGATCCTTCCCGGTGGGGCTAGCAGGGAACCTGCCCGGTGGCCAGAACCTGGGGCCGAGTTGGGCAGGTCTTCCCTGGAGTGGCTGGTGCCCAGGGATGGGGTCTGGGGCAAGGAAGGGTACTCACGAGTGTTCCAAAAGGGACGTCCGGAGCAAGATGGGAGGTGGGGGCCGGCCTCTGAGTCTCAGGCGGTACACTAAATTCTTATGCAATTTTATCAAACTCCGAAGGACACTATGATTTTAGTTTCTTAGCTCTTCTATGAATGCTTTTCATTTTTTTACATGTGTGACATGTTAAATTAATTAAAATTTGAATAACAAATACTATAAAATAAAGTCTATATTGGCAGTGTTCCTAATTTGCCAAGAATTATACATAGGTCATATTTTGTAACTGAGAGATTCTTTCTTAGAAAGTATTGCCTTTAATCGTCTCATACTTCAGTGGTTGATGAAATGTCTGGTACATTTAACACACAGCCACCAGTTATATCCAGACATATCTGTGGGTGACAAGCATATTAGAAGACACTGACTAGTATATTAGACACAGTCCCTGCCCTTCTTTAACCATGGTCCAGTAGGGCAGACTAGTAACTAAGGGGTGGTATTATCAGAGATTGGAGGATCAACATCATTGTGAGAATGTGCATAGAACTTACTTTGGTCTACTGTAAGCATCAGGAAAGATTTCTCTTTATTCTATGTGCCAGCCATGTAAGTCCTGCCTATCATCTCAAGTCCTGCCTTTGAAGGATTTATTCTTATATACTGGTACAGAACCCCTAACCCACTGTCATGTGACAATGGTTCACTGTTAGCTTCTGTTAGTAAGGAACACAAAGAGCAGATGGAGGCAGGACAACAGATAAGTTCTTGTTCCTTTTCAGAATACAGCGTTCTGAAAATGGCCATTAACAGTTTTCTTTTCCATATGCTCTTGAAATTATCTACAGAAATCCCCAAAGTAATGAAAGATGGCCCTGCCCAATAGTCTTACCTCCAGTTCTATGCTCCACCTTTCAGCATCACCAAGAATGCAGGATGTGCTGGCTAGATTTGTGTCACCCTGACACAGACTATAGTTATCTTAGAGGAGGGAACCTCAATTATGAAAATACCTCCATAAGATGGGGCTGTGGACTAGCCTGTAGAGCATTTTCTTAATTAGTAATTGTTTGTTTGTTTGCTTGTTTATTCTTTGTGTCTTTCACGCCACATATCGTGATTCCATTCATCTCCCCATCCTTTGTATCCACCCTCTGCTCTTGCAACCTCCTCACCAAAATAAAATAAAATAAAATTTAAGGAAAAAGAAAAGAAAAAAAGAAAGAAAGAAAGAAAGAAAGAAAGAAAGAAAGAAAGAAAGATCTTGTCATGGAAGTTGTATGTGACACAGTGAGTCACACAATATACCCTTTAGTCATACATCTTTACTTGCAAATGTTCATTGCAAAGAATCATTGGTCTGGTTTGAGGCCTCTAGTTTCTGCTGCACTACTGATACTGGGCCCTCACTGGAACTCCTCTTGGATATCCTGTTGTTGCCCTAGGTCATTGGTTCATCTGAAACCCATCAATAGGGCCAGCTCTACTGTGCTGCCCAGGTAAGGTAAAGGGTCCACTTTCCTAAGTGCTGCGGCTGGTAAGGGGGAGGATCGGCTCCCTTGCCCACCACAGATGGCAGGGGCAAGTGGGGGGGGGTCATCTTTCCCTCACCATCACCATCACACAGAAGAATAGGGGTTATGGCCAGCTATCCCACTTTCACACCCTCAGGGCCACTTCACCCACACCTCTGTCAATAGAGTCAGCTCTACTGTGCTGCCCAGGTGAGGTGCAGGGGCTGCTCTCCCAAGGGCTTCAGCTGGTGACGGGCAGGGCCTGCTCTCCCTCCTTTCACAGGTGGCACAGCGTGGGGAGCACATTTTCCTCACCATGCCACCATATGTCAGATAATAGGAGAGGCCAGATCTCCCGCACTCACATTTTCTTCTTGGGCAGCCCTCTACTGTGATGCCCAAGTGGGGTATAGGGCTCATTCTTCTGAGTGCTGCAGGTGGTGAGAGGTGGGTCAGCTTGCCAGCCTGCCACAGGTGTCGAGTGGGGGAGCAATTTTCCTTCACCCATGCCACCACATGGCAGGCGAGGGGGTGGGACCCACTCTCCCACTCTCATGCTCTCAGGGCCAACTCACCCATACCCCCTCCAACAGGGTCAACTCTGTTGTGTTGCCCAAGCAAGGTATAGGACCTGCTTTCTCTAGTGCTGCAGCTGGTGAGGGGCAGGGCCAGTCTCCCTGGTATTGCAGCCAATGAGGGGTGGAACCAACCCTGTGTAGCCCTATCCTCTGGCCTTTGGTGTTATCAGGAGCCATAGATTATCAACACAGATCATAGCTGCAGCAGGGCCATAGACCCAGACATGAGCCTCAGCAGTAAGTAACCCCAGCCCAGTAATCACCATGACCGCAGGTGACAACCAACACCCCCACCTCAGTCTGTACTTTCACCTCTTCAGTTCTGCCTCTATCCACAGGACATAGGAACCATTCTGCCTCTCTCTCTTCCATACCACACCATACATTTGCTTACCATAATAGCTGGGCAGGGGTGTGCGTTCTCCTCGGCACCCAGGGCAGGCCACCAGGGCAAGTCTCAAAGCTCTCTCTCTTTTATTTCTTTTTGTGGGCAAAGGGACACACAGTGTTTATTTGCCACAGGGGTTCTGCTCACACCTTGGGGGTAGCAAAGAATTGCCAGCTTTCCAGTTTGCCAATCTTGAACAGGGTTGCCGCGGTGTCCATGTATATGCAGCCAACAACTGCAGTCCCATAGCTGTGAGCACATGCTCCCAGGGTCAGGCCCCTGGCGCAGCCTCCAATGAAGTAGTTCATGGGGTCATCTGGCTTCTCGCGGACCTGGACACCGACACAGGTGGCGAGACCTAGCATAGCTCCGACGGCAGCCGCCATGCATGTGTACCAGCCAGGCCCGGCCCCTGCTTCCAGGTGGGAATCTACCGGGTTGAGCAGACACTGTAAGCATGTGTACCAGCCAGGCCCGGCCCCTGCTTCCAGGTGGGAATCTACCGGGTTGAGCAGACGCTATTGCACCCATGAGGCCGCCTAATGCTGTGGTGATGCAGGTCTTGCAGTGACACTGAGTGCTGTCGCCGATGTCATCATAGGCCTGGAGGAGCCGCTGGGCCATGGCTGTGCCTGGCCGTGCTCGCTCTGCAGACCCTTCTGCGGGGCAAGCTCAAGGGCAGCCGGCAAGACCAACTCTCTCAAAGCTCTTTTTAAATAGTTCATGGCTTGTTGAGATTTGACACAGCACCAGTTGTTTAAATAAAACAAACCTGATGTGTGATCCTAATTAATCTTAACAGTCAAAACTAGGAGTCAGCTATTACGGTGTAGCTGAAAGAAGCAGAGCAGCAGCCACAGTCACTCCTTACCTCTACAAAATCTCAGACCAAAAGGGGCCTGATCCTGTCTCTACGAATCCTCAGACTGAATGGGCTGGAGATCCTGTCTCCACCCGTCTTATATTCCTGTCTCTACCTCCCATGTACTGGGATCAAAAGCATGAGCCTCCCAAATGCTGGGATCAAAAACATGAGATCCCAAGTGCAGATATCAAAGGTGTGAGCAACCAACATCCAGCTCTATTTCTCTTTTAGACTGGATCAATCTGGTGTAGCTCAGGGTGGCCTTGAACTCCTGATCTTCCTGCTTCCTCCTCCCAAGTGCTGGGATTAAAGGTGTGTGCCACCACTGCCTGGCCTCTATGGTTAACTAGTGGCTAACTCTGCTCTCTGATCTCCAGGTAAGCTTTATTAGTCAGACCACAAACAAAATATCACATAACACAAACCAAATCAGTTTATCACCTGACTAGCCTACCTGTCCACCACGCACTCACCCACCCATCAACCCACCCACTCACCCACCTATCCATCAACCCACCCACTCACCCACCTATCCATCAACCCACCCACTCACCTAACTATCCATCAACCCCCCCCACTCATCCACCCACCCACCCACCCATCAAACCACCCATTCACTCACCCATCAACCCACGAACCAAACAAGCCTCAAAGATTCCTCAGATGATTTAAATATGTCTCCTGCTCTGGCTCTTGGTCAAAGTTCCTCACATTTCATCCCATACCATGCTCAAGAGGAATGTGTTCCTCATGGTATGTTCTCACACTCAAAAGATTCTGAAGCAGTTGTTGTGACATTTGTGGTGGGTCCAGGTGATGCTGAAACTGTAGGTTTTGGTATATTTTGAGAGACACTGGTGGAGGTGGTTAGCATATATGTGAATACCACAAGCTTCTCTCTACTTTTTTCCTTCCACTTTTATCTCAATACAATATATTCCTCCATAGGCTTATCTGAGAGGTCCTGAAAAAGCAAATTGGATCATATGAACCACTGTGACCCTCATGTTGCTCTGTTTCAGATTCTCTCTAAGAGTTTCTAGAGAATTAGAGAAAATCCAAAGTCTTTCACCACACTATGCCTTTTTCTGGGATCTGGCTTGTCTCCCACTTGGAGAGTATCTCTTGTAAAGAAACTGTATAGTGATACTAGTAATGTAATGGTGAAGAATGATGTATACTCCTTTGGGCAATGCTTCCCCTACCCACTCATAGGCAATACTTGATTACAATGAGCTTTTCTTTCCTGTCTCCTCTTATAAGGGATGGAACACTTTCCCTTTATTGCCAGCCCTGGGACTCCTCATATGTACCATAATCTCTTCTCACAAGTCTACAGCACTGCATTACCTGATACCCTATCCTTTCTTCCTTAGACTACAAGTGTGCAGAAGACAGGCAGGGATATGTGAAAAGAAATTTTTGCATTGATTATTAAATAAGTAAGTAGATATGCATATAACGTAAAAGATAGGACACTTTCACAGTTTGTTCCAGTACTTAAAGACGAACAGCGTGTTTTATTCAGTTAAAGAAATACAAAGATACTATGAGCCTTTTTGTTCTACCCATAATTCTAATTATAGAAGTGTAGATTATCACTTCTTTAGGCTAACTGTGGTTTCAGATTCCTTACACATACTAAATTATACATACAACATAGGCACTGTTATTGCTGTGTTTTGTAGATGACAAAACAGCATTAACTAAATGTCTAACTTGTTCAAAGTAGCTAAGGACTAGAGGCTCTGTTAGCCAGTTCCAGAGGTAGGTCTCAGATGTTTATTATTCATGTATAATAGTCCACCTGAAAAAAGCAATCTAGAGTCTCCCTGCAGAATTCCCATATAAATTAAAAATGTTTTCTATACTTTAGTTCTAAGTAAGCTTTCAGTGTTGGTGCCAAGCATCAAGTTCTCATGTTTTTAGCAATTTTATCATTTTGAAATAAATACAGTGATTTTGATGCAACTAGGACACTCAGGTGTCTTTAGAAAGCACATTGCATTTTGCACAAACTATCTGTCATGTGACTAATCTCTATCTTGCTTGTATTATTATTTTTTTTAACCAATCAGTAGTTAATGGAAGTGCTTTTAAAAAACATTCTCAGTAAGTCAAAGCATTTAAAAAATAATTTGCTCAACTTCAGAGAGTTCCAGCATCTCAAGTACAAAACTGGCAATTAATGCTCATTGTTTGACTATCCCAAAATGGTTAGATGTTTCCATGAGGGAGAAATTTGAAGTGCCCACATTTGGTACCAGGTGTTTGAGTAAAGGGTGTTATTTGTCTTGAGATGTAATTGGGGTCAGATATGTAGAAAAGAGGTTTAAACTATTATTACTGGGCCAGCCTCAACCCTGTTCGTCAGACTCTGGCTCCATTACCATCACTAACAATCATTTTCTTACTGGGAGTTATCAATAAGATTACATCTACTGTCAGAACCTGTTAGCCAAAAAATTATTAACTCAGCATGTGAAGTTCAACAGCTACAGAGTTTATGTCATTCAACAGGACTCTGACCAGTGCAGACACAGACACACACACACACAGACACACATGCAGTGGGAGGAAGGCAAGAGAGAAAAAATTAAAGTAATTATAACTAGATGCATATTAAATTATGTATAGATGCAAAAAGATTATTTTACTTTGGAGTGTATGTACCAATGATCTACACCCTGCTGCAACAAAGTTAAAAAAATTAGTTATAAATTTATTTGTGGATATGGAAATTCCTTTATTTGTGGGAATCATGTGAAGTGGTTATTGACTTTGGTTTAAGACAACAGCATAAAGAAAGAAACCAGGTTGTTCAAATGTAGAAACTTTAAATAACATTATTACATTAAAATGTATGCAATGACTTTATATCCCTTAGTATGAGACATATAGAAATTATCAGAATGTTGACTAAAATGGAGGTCTACAAACCGAATAATAGCATTAACTGTGCTTTTGAAAAACATGCAGTTGTGTCAACCTGTGTAAAGTGTGTTTTAGTGCTTTTGGTAGCTCTTTACCACTCCTAACCTTCTTACATAACATGGGATTCCCAATGTTGCTAGATACCAGTTTAATGGTATATAATTGTCATGCTCTAGATTCTTTTACTAAATAGCCACTTTAAAATTTTGCCTAATTGTTCATAGCTCACAGGTTCCTGTTAGGAACTCTCTTTCCAGCTGACATTATTTTAATGGTTCTCACTTTAACTACGTCCTCACCATCTGTTCTTCCTTTTATTTTAAATGCTAAAATAAATTATTTAAAGTATCATAAACCAGCTATTTTATGTTTTTTAACATCTCTGTCCAGGTCCTGACTCTCAGTTTAAATGTGCATTGTTGAACTCCAAAAACATCTGGAGCCAAACAGCTGTCCTTTGACTTCTGATTTGGAATTCTTCCCAGGGAAGAGAAGAAATCATTTTTAAATGATTGTATTACAGATGACACCCATGACCCCTCTCTGCTTGTTTAACGTGTACTCTCATAATTAAACTTATAAAACAGTAGTGATTTTAATCTAATGTTATCAAGGTTTTGTTTTTTATACTTGAGACATTTTCTTCTCTTTAGCATTTTCCAAAATACAAAATATTAGCACTTGGAGTTTAATTAATTGAACACACTTTTTTTTTTTTTTTTTTTTTTTTTGCTAGATTTTAGCAAACAGTTTCTGGAGTATAGATAATGGTTGTGACATAGGTTGCTCATGTGTCCTGGTGGCAGGAGGAAGTCTGAATTACAGAGACACCACAAAGGAAGGGGGACTCCCATCTTAGCCTCTGACAGTGTCAGGAAGAGCTTATTGTGAGAACCAAAAAGGGTCACCCCAACGAGGTTCTCATCCCTAGGACTCTGTCTATTGGTAATGAATACCAGATGCATTGGTCGCTCTGACAAAGTAGGGTTTGATGTTCAGCAGTATCTGGTGGGGCATGTGTCCATGTCTGCACCGGGACTTGCTCCCACATATTACTAGTACCTGGTATTGCTGGGACTGTTCTGTGTTCTTGCCACCAGACACAGTTCAAAATTTAGTGCTCCAGTTACAGGATAGCATTTTAGGGGATGGCTTTAGGGTGCCAGAGCATAGAGTCATCATTTCTTTCCTACAAAATTTAAGGTGATTGGTGACACTCATTGCAGCAGCTTATTGTAACTTAGGGTGCACTTGTGCTACCCTATCTCAAACCATCTTATTTAACTCAAAGGCTTCCCTGGAAACAGAATGGTCTGGAAATGAATGGTACTAGCAGCAGACAAACTGAAAGCTGGGAGAGAAGACATGGAGAGATAATGTGGTTTTATTAAAGAGTGACAGATACTATAAAGAATTCATTTAGGAGTCAATCATAAAAGGAAAGAAAGTTTTCAAAGGACAACTGCCTTAAACGTATAACTGATATTTTAAAATGAGCAGAGAATATGATATTGTATATTAAGTAGAAAAAATACTTGGATCAAAACTCATCTGCTGTGGGATGTTCTGTATGGCAAATGTGTTGCTGATTGGTTAATAAATAAAACACTGATTGGCCATTGGCTAGGCAGGAAGTATAGGCGGGACAACGAGGAGAATAAAGCTGGGAAGTGGAAGGCTGAGTCAGAGAGACACTGCCAGCCTCCACGATGACAAACAGCATGTGAAAATGCCAGTAAGCCACGAGCCATGTGGCAAAGTATAGATTTATGGAAATGGATTAATTTAAGCTGTAAGAACAGTTAGCAAGAAGCCTGCCACGGCC